ACGAAACTCGGCGTGCGCGCGCGACGACGCGCGCGTGCGCTTTTCTTCCAATTTGATGCTCGAGATTTTCCGAGGGATGAGCGAGTGCGCGCGCATAGCATGTTTAGATGAGGGAGGCGATGCCGACCTACCTAGGATGGTACCAGACCAAATTTAGGGTGGACCCTGGGGCAGAATCCGATACAACTTGCAATACGAAGATGGGGACCGTCGGTTCCGGGGGGGGGGTAGAGACTTATTTTTCTCAAGCAAGGGAAATTGTTGTGGAGCCTGTGTGAAGGCGACGAAGTGGCGACGGGGCGGCGCGACGGCGGCAACGTAGCCGCCAGACCGCCAGACAGGCCCAGACGACGGGCGGCGAGGAGGCGGAGACGGCGGCAACATAGCCGACAGACCGCCCGACAGGCCCAGACGAGGGGCGGCGACGGCGGCGACAGCGGGGCAGCGGCGGCGAGCACGGAGCCGCCAGACCGACAGTCGGGCCCAAACGAGGGGCGGCGACAGGGCGGCGACGGGGCGGCGACGGCGAGCGTGGAACCGCCAGACCGACATTCAGGACCAGTCCCTCAGAAGGTGAAGAAGAACCCCTTAAGTGCACGCACCGCTTGGGGACTGTGCGAAATGTCACCAGCCCTTTAGGGCGTGAGTGGCTCAGAACATGTCTTCTTCCATCCTCACTCTTCCATGTCGGGGAGCGTTTTGCCTCTGCTCCCTCTGAATATACACCCTCCCACCAGGCGACCGGCAGCCAACTAGGAACACTGATGACACCATGATCCCCCCCCCACCATCCCCGCCAACAAACAATACAAAACGCACTCTGCCTCCAAATTTTGGAGCATGCGACCAACCCGATGCGCCCCCCCCAACCACCATCCCGACAAAAAAAGTACACTTCGGGGAAAAGTCTGGAGTTATGCTCGTGAGGCCCGCGAGCACTTTGTACTGTTTTTTGACAGGGACGGCGGGGGTGTCAGCATATCGCCGGCTGTGCGCAAGGCTACCACCCCTGACAAAATAATGCAAAATGCACCTCGCGGCTAAATCTGGATCATGCGCGGCCACCCCGCGATCACTGCCAAGTGGTTTTTGACAAGGGGCGGAGGGGGTGGTGGCGTATGGCCTGCTGTGCGCAGGCCCACCAGACACAATGATGGGCACTGGTTTTCGACAAGGATGGTGGGGGCCGACATGTTGCCCGATGTGTGCTGTCACGTGCGCAGGCGCACCTGACACACTCCTCACGTGAACAAAACGTGGCGCACCTGGCGCGGCTGGAGTATGCGGTACACCTGGCGCACGTGGGGGCACGTGGCGCATCTGGCGCACCAGGCGAACCTTGTAGGGGGCCACATGCGAACCCTACCCCTACCCCCCACGATTTCTGAGGGGGAGGGTGGGGTTCACTTCGTTCGGGAACTCTCGAGCGAAGTGAACCCCACGTAGGGGTAGGGTTCGCATGTGGCCTCCTACCTTTGCACGATCGGGCCCCAGGGGTGCCTGGCGCGCGTGGAGCGCCTGGCACGCGTGGCGCACCTCGCCCAACCGTCGCGCACATGGGCTTCTTATTGGTTCCCAGTAGCTGCCCATCCAACGACGACCGCTGAACATGCTGAGGCTCGGGTATGTGTTGGGAGGGCGGGTGGGGGTGAGCTAGACGGCTTGCTATCTAGGAGGGTGTCTTGACCCCTCCCCCTATCCCCTCCCTGTAGACCTGGACGGCGCGTTCCACGACGGGTTGGAGCGTCCAAGATGGTCTCGGCGAAATGCCAAAATCATCATCATTATTATTATCATGGTGTTGGCCAAAGATTGGCCTCGTGGTGGGGCAACGCTAATGGGAACCTCATCCAGCTTTGATCAATCACCGCCAAGATGTTCCAATATTGTCCCCGAGGCTCCCCAGGGTGGCGCAAAACGGGCCCAAGAGGTGCCCGCAGGGACCCGAGGGGCCCCCAAGATGCCCTCGAGAGGCTCCCAAGAACCCCCCCAGAGGCCCCAAGAGGTCCCCCAGAGGCAGCCAAGACGCCCCAAGAGGCCTCGGCGAGAGGGCAAACATCATCACTTTTTCTCATGTGAGGACCACAGTTCAGCCTCTTAGGGGAAAGGCCCAATTAAGGAGCCCCCCTCCTTTGACCGATCTCTTCCAAGATGGCTCCCGAGGCTCTCCGAAGGGTGCCCCAAGACGGCCCAGAGGGGTGCCCAAGAGGCCTTCAAGGCGCCCCCAAGAGGCTGCCAAGAGACCCTCAAGAGGCCCCCCAGATGCACAAAGTGGACCCCAAGAAGCTCTGAGATGAAATCCGAGGAGACTCCGGGAGGCACTCAAGAGGACTCTGCTCACCCTCTTCCCCTTCCTCATCCGCCTATTCCTTATTCCTCCTCCCCTCTCCCCCTCCATTTCTACCCAATCCTCCTACTGCTCCGCCGATTCATCCTGAATCCTCTTCTTGGGGTGCGACGTCTTACCCAGCCCGTTATTCAGTGCATGCTCCTCCACATCCCCAATCAGGGCAGCTCGTCTGGGCATCGTTTCTGGATGGGCTGGTGGGCTTACTTTTTTAGTCAGCGGCCGCGGGCGAGCGCGCCAGCGGCGAGTCAGGTCAAAGCGGGCTACGCAGAGACTAACTGGGCAGAAGAAGCGCGGGAACAAATAGAACAGAGCAACGCGCGAGGCGACGGCTAAGCGCGGCCGAGGCCTCAGGTGGGTGGCTGAGGGGCCAGAGACTGAGGGGAACTGCCAGCGCGCAAAGCTGCAGGTCCGCAATGAGTCGACAACTTCTCAGAGAGGTCCGCGCGGCCTTCTTGGATCGGCGCTGGGGCCCCCTCCTGGCGCGCGGAGCCGGCGCCGAGGGCGCCGCCAGGGGGGCCCGATGCGGATCCAAGAAATCCGCGCGAGGCCGCGAGAAAGTGAAGGGGCCCAAGGACACACAAATAAATACATACAAATAAACATATTCCCCATATTTTCCAATATTTTCAGGGTTTCTGTATTCCCCCCCACTTCCGATATTTTCAGATGTTTTCTGGGGAATCGAATATTAATTGTGTCTGTGTGTTTCTTTCCCTCCTGAATATCATGTTTATGCTTTGTGCAAGTTTCCATATTTGATGAATCGGGTCGGATCTGGCCAGCCGGCAAAGATCTCTTGCAAGCGAATTAGGTCGGGCGGGTCTTCCTACAGGCGGTTCTTGGACGAACAAGCAAACATTGTCGAACCAGGCTCAAGCATAGTCAACACTAAAAAACACATCGTCCCCAGACTATGTTTTCACTATTGCTGAAAACTCCTCACGTAGAGGGACATGTCCGACTGAAGATTGTGCTCATGCTTTGTGCAAGTTTTCACCTTCGAAGAATCGGATCGGACCTGGCCAGCCAGAGCATGTCTCTCGCAGGAGAAACGGGTACCTCCGCCACCGAGAACCCATCCGTGGGCACACATCGACGGTGGACAAACTTCCCTTTCGTAAACCTCCCCTGAGTGAAAACGGCCTGGGACCGAAACCGACGGACCTTGACCCGCAAAAATGACGGCCGCGACGCCTTCTCGCGAACCGAAAGCGGCCAATTCCTGAATCGACGCGTCAAGCCAGGAGGCCTGTCCACCCCTGAGAGACACGGGTACCACCGCCACCGAGAACCCATCCGTGGGCACGCACCCCTGGGCGGCACGCCTCGGCGTCGGCCGGTGCGGCGCGACGCTCGAGCGTGCCACCACCCAGGGGTGGGCCCCCTCTGGATGGTGCTTGGCGGCGCGCAGGGGGGGGGTGGGGGGAGGGGGGCAGGCTTCTTAGAAGCACCCCTGCTTCTTAGAAGCCGGTTGCATTGTCTGTAGATGTAATACCGGCGCCTTCTAAGACGCAGCTTCCTTCTAAGAAGGCTTCCCCCCTCTCCCTACCCCCCTCTGCGCGCCGCCAAGGTGCTCTCGGAGACGTGCATACAGACGAGGTTGATTGGAGAGGACACGCGAGAGGACACAAGACTTAGGTCGGGCATGTCCCCCTACAGGCGGATTTTCAGCGAAAAATCGAACATACTCAACAAAAATGCACAAATGATCAAACAATTGTCCCCGTACGACTATTTTTTGACTATTTTTGAACTTTCTCACTGTAGAGGGACACGCCCGACTGAACACAAGACCCTTCCAAAGGACACAGCGCCATAGGAATGTAGAGGGCATGGGTCGCCAAACTCAGGGCGCAAGAACTCCCTTGATTTGGCAGCGTCGACCTACCAACCTGCCCCGACTGTTAACAGAACCTTTTGGAGGTCCACGCGAATATCTTGGATCGGCGCTGGGTCCCGACGCGCCAGGGACGGTGACGGAGACGCAGGCAATGGGGGCCCAACGCCGATCAAAAGAATCCGGGCGGAACTTCGAAAAATCATGCTTAGGCAATTTTCTGCTATTCGACTCTTGGTGTCGGAGGTCTCTGTTTCCCCTTTTTTTTTCTTTTGCGAAGGCCGCTCACAGCTTGGTTTGAATATGGGCCACACGGCCTCACGCCCGTGGGCGCACACTCAGAGAACCAGTGTAAGGAGACGTGGTAGCCAGCGAATTTCCATGTCAATTGACTCGGCGGCGCCCGCTGCAAGCCAAGTAGCGGTGCGGGTTTGCTCTCACCATGCGTACACTTATCCTGTTCCCCTCCGCCTCCACCACCACCACCACCACCTCGGACACACCCGTCACGCGTGCTTACGCACCACGGTGATCATATACGCGACGGCCCATCATGGAAGACGCGACCCATCTAAATGCGACGGTCCAGGGCACGTGCACGTATCAACTGCAACGCGGTCGGGCCGCAAGGCGATCGACGCTGACGTGAAATTGTTGTCACGAGGGTCGCTCGTCAAATTATGATACCCAGCTTAGGCAACTCAATCTGGAAAATAACGCTAAAACGTCTGTGGAAGGCTAAGCAGACAGACCCCATCAACACCTCCACGTGTTACCCCATGCTTTTCCCGCTTCCCGAATCTTCCTCCCTACTCCTCCTGTGGCTGATGGTGCTGCCGCTGCTGCTGCTGCTGCTTCTCCTCAAGGGGCCCAGCCCGCTCTGAGAATCGGCCCGCTAACCAACAAACGGTCTTCAAAAACAAGCAAGCAATGGGATTCTGTGTTCGGGGATCTTCTGACCCGGGTCAATCCAGACCCGGGTCAGCAGGAAACCAAAAACTGCAATGCAGGGGAAAAAAAAAACTGCAACGCAGGTCTTCGCAGACCCAGGTCAGCCAACAGGCGCGGCCGCCTCGCGGCCACGAGCGGCTCCCTAACCCGGGTCAGCCAGAGGGGGCCTCCGCAGGATCCTGCAGGATCCGGTGCCCTGGCTGACCCCCGTTTGCATTGACCCCCGTCTCGAGGCCCCCGATGTGTGGCCACGCAGAGCGTCCTCTCATTCCGGGCAATCGCATCAAACATCACCCACGCCACCCCTCCTCCACCAAACGACACCCCATACTTGCGCCCCATACAGGACCCCTCCCCCTTGCGGGGGCCAGGACCAGGGGGAATCGTCTTCGCAAAGTCCGCATCTCTGCGCGCACCTCCATTCCGCGTCTGACCGTGCAGAGCTCTGACGGGGAGCGGCTGTGGGCGTGCCGCGATTGGAAGTATTGCAGCCGTCTCACTCAGCGCCACTGGTGAGGTAGAGGAAGGAAGGTCGAGAATCGCGAGGGAGGCGCCGTGCAAATTGTGATAACGAAGGCACAGGGTCACGCCTTGATGAGCGGTACGGATGCAATGCAGGCCAGCTCTTTGTTCTGAGCCGCATGTAAATTGCTGAGCGAGGCTGCCCATGTGGCGGCGACCAGCAGCAGTCGCCGTCCAAGGCTCATCTCAGGTGTTAGCGGCGAGGGTGTCTAGACTCTCACCTCGAATCGCGACGATCCCTTCTTCAGATCCATCGGATGGGCTACTCTTCTTCTGGAGGTCGTGCGCACTCTCCAGATACGAGAATGGTCGGCCGCCCCCGGAAGTCACAAGGATCGTCATCCCCTCCCTCCCCTCCCCCATGCCGTCGGACCTCGTCCTCGCTGGCAGCCCCCGCCAAACCCCCGCTCAGTCGTCGTAGTGCGCGGGCTGCGCGCCCAGGAGGATCTCCCTGCCACGCGGCTCCGCGAGCAGGCGCCTCGGCGAGCTCGCTCCCGCTCCAGGAGCAGATGCTGCCGCTGCTGCTGGCGGGCTGCTGCCGGCCGCTCCAGGAGCCCACCAGGTCCAGGTGGTCGCACAGGGAGAGCCGCAGGCCAGGCGGGGCCTGCCTCGGCTCCGCGCCCGTGCGCGGCCTGCGCCCCTTGGCCCTGCTGCTGAAGGCATCCATTTGGGCGAGCTTCTCCGCGCCGTGGGGGAAGTGGCAGAAGTTGCAGGCCTCTCCGCGGGGGCACTCTTCGGGGGCCAAGTGGAAGCGGCACGGGCGGCACTGGCCCTTGAAGTGGTTCTTCGAGCCCCTCGAGGCCCTGCAGGCCACTGCCGACAGCGGCGGCGGCGCGGCGCCGAGGGCGCGGTCCTCGCAGAGGCTCCGAAAATCCGCGGGGGCGGCGCCCCGCTGCGGCGCCGGGGCGGCGGGGACGCCGCCGATCTGGATCGGGATCTGCATCAACAACATCGTTTCGGGCTTCGGGTGACACCCCGCTGGCACTGCACCGGGCCTGGTGCTCTCAGTCTGCCTGGGCCAGCACTGTTGCTGCTTGAACCAAAATGGCTACGGAAGGTCTCTGTTTCCCCTTTGAGTTCGGGTCAACTTGGATCCACCGGATCGACCCGGTTATCGGACGACTTGGCCTCTCCGTCGGGATATCGGTTCGGGCCGATGGGATCGAAGCGGATCTTGCCAGGGAACTACAGGGCTCGAGCTAAAAAGTGCTTTTCGTTCTCGCTTTGTTTTCGTTGTCCTTCGTTCTGTCTTCGTTCTGGCTTTGCTAACAGAAAGAGAAGCGGCAAAAACATAAACTTGTGGCGCTCCGCGCGGATTTCTTGGATCCGCGCTGTGTTCCCCTCCCTGGCCCGCGGAGCGCGCCAGGGGCGGCGCCGGAGGCGCCGCCGGGGGGGGCTCCAGCGCAGATCCAAGAAATCCGCGCGGAGCGCCAAAAGTTTCTGTTTATGGCGTTTTTTCTTTCGATTCGGTCTGCCTTTACAGCGAAACAAAAGCATGATCAAAACGGTCCCAAAAATCGCCTCCCCAAAAAAAACAAAACAAACTATGTGTTAAAACGCACCAGAAAAAGAACAAACAAACAAGAACTAACAAACAAAAAAAAACATCGCTTCGGTCGAGACCGCGAAGAGGAGCCGGCAGCTGCGGCGGAGAGCGCGCCCAAGGCATGCATGTCCAGGCAGTGCCGGTACTCGTGGTCGAGGGCGGGGTACCTTTCGGCGGTGGACAAACCTCCCTTTTGTGAAAACGGCCTTGACCCGCAAAAATGACGGCCGCGACGCCCTCTCGCGAACCGAAAACGGCCAATTCGTGAATCGTCGTGTCAGGGTAGGAGGTCTGTCAACCTCCGAACCTTTGGCAGGGCGGCCCCCCCTGCGTGCACAGCGCGCGGTCGCGGCGCCACGGCGCGTCCGTGCCCGGCCCCTCCCTCCGTAGACGAAACAAAAAAAAAAACGCCATGAGCAGAAACGTTGGGCGCTCCGCCGGATTACTTGGATCCGCGCTGCGCCCCCCCCCCCCCCCCCGGCGGCGCCTCCGGCGCCGCCCCTGGCGCGCTCCGCGCGCCAGGGAGGGGGGTCCAGCGCGGATCCAAGAAATCCGCGCGGAGCGCCCTAAGTTTATGTCGAAGGCCGTTGTTTCTCCTTCGAATCCCTCCATCCATCTAGAGGCCTCCCATACAGGGCTCGAGCTGAACAGTGCTTTTCGCTCCCGCGTTGTTCTCGTTTCGTCCACCGTTCTGTCTCCAGCCCGCCTTCGCTCGGAAGCTGGGCAAGGGCTGCTAAATCCGTGGCTGCTAAAATCGACCTCCGGGAATTTGTCTTCGTCCTTCCGTGGAGAAGCCCGTTGACTGTTTCGCGTGCCGCGCCTCATTCCGGGAAGTTGTTTTTTCCTTCCGGGAGGGCCGTTTTAGCAGCCACGGTTTTAGCAGCCCTGGCCCCCCCTCCGATTCGCTGCAAAAGGAGTCAAATCGAAGACGGCCCACGAGGTCGGCAAAACGCCGTCCAGGTCGGCCCCTGCTTCCCTGCTCCCTCCCTCCCTCCACCTATAGAGGCCCCCTCGATTGGGTCCGAGCTGCTGGTGTCGCCGGATCGCGCCGCACCGCCGACGCCTCCGCAGTGCATCGCCGATGCATTGGCCATGCACCGGCGAGGGTCGGCGACGCATCCGCGCCGCCTGCGTGGAGCAACCAAACATCGGGCTCCACATCGAGCCGCATCGCCGATGCATCGGCGATGCAGCGCGGTCCCCCGACCCCACCTACTCGGACCCCACTTGGGAGGCCTAGACCATCACTCCTTCATCCGCTGAACCCCTCGCGTCGTGAAAAATCACGGCGAGCGTTTTGCTCGTATTTGCTGCCTCAGGATGCCCTCGCCGGGCCTTGGGACCGTCAAAAATCGAGTCAGGACGAAAGTTCGGTCCTGTGAAATGTGTCCAGGTTTCTCGGAGTCTGCGTTGCGAAACAAAAAGCACGACGTCGGCGTTATGGTTTGTCCACCCCTCCGTCCTCCCTCCCTCATCCTTCTCCTACCTGTTCCCTTGCTCTTCTTCCTCTGCCTCATCCTTCTTCTCCTCCTCGGTGGCAACTCATGAGAGCCTCCCATAGCATCTAGTCAGCTCCTGCGAATCGACGGCATTCGACGCTAACTCGGCTGTATCGACGCGAGCCGACGCTAGATCGGCGCTATTCGATCCCATCGACGCCCAGACGCTAATCGACGATCCTCGACGCTGAAGACGGAATTGAAAGGGTGTGACTTGCTACCGGATTACTCTTCTTCATTCGCCTCATACTTCCCCTCCTCCCGTCCCACCTCTCATCTCAACTCTCTGGCCGATCGGGGAGGAGTGGGCCGCGCGACTCGGTCTCCTCCACCCCAACTTTGGAGTCCCGAGACGGTGCGGTGACAGACCGTGCAGTGACCTCGAAATCTCCCAAAACCTCACCGCACGGTCCGTCACCGCACGGTCTTGGGACCCCGGAGGCCCCTGTCGCCCGAGACGTCCTCGGAGAGGGACACGAGTCCCAAAACCGTGCGGTGACCCCGAATCCCCACCGACTCACCCGCACGGCATGGTCACCACCCCGTTTGGGGGCCCCCGACCAGCCCTCTTGCGCCGTGGCGCCGGGATGGAATCGGCTGCGCTCTGTCCAGGCCTGCGTGGTGAATGTCCGCGGACGAAGCTGGGATGCGAAGTACAATCTCGAGTCCTTCACTCAGGAGGGAAAGAACCACACATGCACAACTCATCGTCGATTCCAGTGGAATTCTTGAAAAGATGGGGCGTGGAGGGGAAGACAGACATCCAGATGTGTGGAACTATGGACGGTCCTGGGATTTGTGTCCATTTGCTTGTGCGTCACTGGGCCATTTCCTTCCTGCCTCTCCTGCCTCCTCCCCTTCTGCTCCTGCTCCTCCCTCTCCCTCCCTCCCTCCGCTCGTGAGGGCTCAACGACTCCTCAATGCACGGCCACGCTAACTCGGCGATGCTGGTTCACGGCGATGTTGGGAATCCTTTTCTGTTTGCGGCGCCGGACTCGTACAGAACAAGCTGCAGGACACCACGAACAAGCCCTCTCTACAATTGGGTGGGAGGAGGAGGAGGTGGAGGAGGAAGAGGTAGAGGTAGAGGAGGAGGAGGAGGAAAAAGAGGAGGAGGAGGAGGCAGGAGGAGGAGGAGGCAGGAGGAGGCAGGAGGAGAAGGAGGTGGAGGAGGAGGAGGAGGAGGAGGAGGAGGAGGAGAAGCGAGGAGGAGGAGGAGCGAGGAGGAGGAGGAAAGCCTAACATGCCGTAACCTACATCGCCGTGAACCTGCGTCGCTCCTCGCGTGCCTGCGGCTCGGGCCCCAGAGGTGGCCCCCAAGGAGGCGCCCACGAGGAGGCACCACGAGGAGGCACCACGAGGAGGCACCACGAGGAGGCCCTCGAGGGGCCGCCAGGAGGCCCCCCATGGAGGCTGTGACAACTGCCCCCACGGGGCCCCCAACATGCCCCACGAGGCCCCCAAACTGCCCCACGAGGCCCCCGAGGAGGCTTGCAAACTGCCCCGCGAGCCTCCCCCAAAACCGCCCCCACGAAGCCCCAAAAACATGCCCCCAGAAGCCCCCCCGCGAGCGCTCCGAGGAGACCCCGAGGAGCATCCCCTGAGGACTCCGACCCACAGCCTGGGCACGGCGGCGGGGTGGGCCGAGGGCCCTCGGCTACCCGCAGAGGCGAGAGGCGCGCGGGCACGCCGCCAACTCCTGCGTGCCGTGGCCGAAGGCGAACCTCCCGGCCCGCCCGGGGGGGGGAAGGCCCAAACCTTGGCTGGACCTAAACGTTGTGTTTGGGTATGTGTTCGTTGTGTGATTCGTGCTGCTCTCCCCGTTGTCCCCTGTGCCTCCTTGCCAAACCAGAAACACGAAGCGCGGCCGAAGTCCAGCAAAACAGCGTCCATGTCCAGCCCGGACCCAAGCGTCAAGAGCGCGCGCGAAGCAGGAAGAGGAAGCAGGCCCGAGGGGCAGGAGAGGGCGAGTGCGCGCAGCTCGACGAGAGAAAACAAAACGCGCGACAGGGATCGACGAGCCTGCGTCTGGCGAGGCCAGGAGCAGGCCTCAGCGGTGACGAGGAGGGGGCGCGGGTCCCCCAACCGCTCTCCGGTGATAGGGGTCACTGCCAGCCTCAGAGACGACCCCCCTGGCGCGGAGCAGCTCGTCCAAACGAGCAGGAGGAGGAGGAGGAGGAGGAGGAGGAGGAGGAGGAGGAGGAGGAGGGGGAGGAGGAAGGGGAGGAGGAGGAGGATGAGGAGGAGAAGGAGGAGGAAAGGGAGGAGGAGGAGGAGGAGGAGGAGGAGGAGGAGGAAGAGGAGGGGGCACAGGAAGACATGCTAATACCATGCGCTTCTGTTCGGGGGGCACACGTCTGACCCGAACATGCAACATTCGGGGAGTCGTACGCCTCGGGTACGGGGGACTCGGGTAGGCCTGACGGGGCCATCATAACAACTTACGAGGCCCGATCTGAAACTTGAGGTGAGCTCTCGCAACGTACATCCCACGAAACTTGGACCGTCAAAATCCAGGACAAACTCGTCAAAAAACGTCAGCAAACCCGAGTTCTGGCTTACTCGAGCCTTACGCGCCCCCGAACTATAAACATATCATAAGGGAATGTGGCTGTCCTGGCGATGTGGCCAGAGAAAGCGCCCGCCAGCGAGCCATCGAGCACATAGACGTAGAATTCTGAACGCGTGCGCCGCCCCTGGATCGACGAGCGCATCTCTACTACTCGCAGAGCGACTGCGTGCAGAGGGCCTGGATCCGCCGCGGGGGATCTACAGGGCAGTCTTTAAGACATGGGATTGTTTTCAAATATTGGGTGTTTAATACATGGATTTAGACATAAATATACGCATGAACTCATCGTTGTTTGTAATACTAATCCCCTGCATGTTTAACACATGATCCGCACGCGGAGCATGTATTTAAAACGGCCCTGTACGATACATCACATCGAAGCAAACATATGTTTTTCGGACGCCTGCGGCACCTTGCGGGCAGTGTTTGCGCGCTCGGTGA